CCCCCCCCCCCCCCCGTCAACCTCTGAAAACACTGCATACCCACTTTCATGGAATCTTACGAGTTTACAACAAGCTCAAAACCGAGTTCACCACATGCGGTAGTGTCAGATATCTGTCTGTATTCCACCACCCATTCTTCCTTCACGAATTGGTTACCCGAATTTTCCTTCGCTGCCTCACGAATTGCCGAAATAGTCCCGGATGGTTCGCTCACACTGAGTACCCTGACGACCTTGTTTCGCCTGGATCATATCCCTCCAGAATGAAACTTATTTTGGACAACTTAAATGATCCGACCACATCTGCAAGGTTTCATTGCAATAACCAGTGAGATAAACTGTGTGCTTGTAGAAGAGCCAGTCGATGTGGTAGGCAGCTGCACAAGATTCGGTGGACTGACAGAAGTTGCTGTTCGGTTAGGAGAGGCACCCCCGTTCGCTTGGACCAAGCATGGAGCACAACTAGGCAATGTCGTCGCTAGGTCCAGGGTCTGTGAAACGGACATTGCAACTCGAGTGCTCTCACACCAAGGGGCTACACGGAAAGACAGATTGAGGAGTCGTGCGAATAAAGTACCCAAGTGAAGCGCGATAGACAGATCAGCACTCTGAATGTCCGTCACGAAGAGACTGGACCTTACCGTGGTGTGACGGTTTGCGCACCTCAGCGATCCATTGAGCTATACTGGAGAGTGTCTCGCGACACTCACAGAGTCTCTCATACCAGGTTGGTCAATGGTTAGAGGTCTGACGAACACAGTCTCCTGGCCCTCCAGGTTGGGGGTTGGAACATGTGGCGACTTGTTCCGTAGAAAAGGTAATGCAGTTGCATTTCCCGCCAAACACCGCTGCCTTGCGGATAGGCTTTTGAGCCAAAGGCTTTGGTCGAGGACCCTAATCGTCCTCCTGTCTAGGTGTGGGCACCCTGGCAGTATCCCAGCCCTCGTACAACCATGACCTACACTCTGAATGTAATGACATCGACGCGATCAGCTACTCGATTACTGCGAAACCCAAGCTGCCCGTAATAATTCAGTATGAAACATCTACTCACGGAAGCCGGGCAATCAATAGTTCAAAACAGTGGCGGTGAGGTTCTGGGACACCGCAAGGTCGGAAGAGTTGAAAATGTACTTTCAAATTACAGACATCGGGTGAACGAACTGCGCAGGAACGTTTGGAGATCGCCCGGCTCCTTTTCGATACCAACACCCACCGCTAACCACGAAATGCAGATAAATAGGAAATGTGACACCGCTTATTAGCGGTGGATTAACAACTGCGACTAATTGAAAAATGGTGTTATCAGATTGCTCAAAAGGTTTGCGTTGGATCGCACCAAAATCACGCCACGTCTGCATATATGACGCAGTGAAAGCTAGTCCAGTTTGGCTTTTCTACCTGACTCCACTGTGTAGAAATAGCGTGCCCCAAGAATAAAATTCTGAATTAAATGCTGCTGAGCAGGGTATAATGAAGTTCAGAAAAGCAGTCGAAAAAGCCAATCTGCTTTAACCGTCATGCACTGGAATTAATTAGTATATCTAGGCCATTTTTTACAAACAAGGTTCGTGAACGGCATGAGTACCAATATTTTTTAGGCTTGGCGAATTCATTTTCACTTCTTAGTAAAAATTCTGAAAATTAGGTGGACTTTCACCGTGACTTATCATCGATTTCCAAACTGGTCTTTTAACTGAAACAAAATAGCATTTCTAGGGATCCTGCAATAGAGTTGCAGTAGGTCATCAAACATCATTGTCAGCTGTAATAACCGCGTACTCGTCGTACTGTGGTTGTAGCTGCCGCAGTTTCGTTCACTGATGGTTTGGGGGGAGGGGGAGGTAGCGTCCACCGATGTCCCTCCCCAACCCCTTCCCACCGCACAAGCAAAAGTCGCTGGGCCATTTGACTGTCAGTCATCTAACCGAAGGGCCTTATGCTCCTCGCTGCCTACAAACATTAAGCAAAATAACACCTTCCTAAATCCACGAGATCCTTTCTATATAGGAGCTTTTAACGTCCGTACTCAGGCCATCGAACACAGTTTATTTTATCTCCCTTGCAGTCGGAATTTATGACAGGATCCAAGAAAAAATGGATTTGGTGCCAAGGGAGTATTTTGATTTTAACCATCGTGGGAATTGAATCCGGTCTTTTTAACGTTTAATTGCGATGAACAAAAGCGGTGCCGCGTGTTGCCTGCAAACTCTGATGGCCATGGCTCTAAGTGGTTCTCAAGGTCACACCAAAGAGGCAATACCATTGATCCAGTCTTCTGTCAGGAATGATTCACCGTCAAAGCGTCTGATCTGCACCCCAAAACACTTGAGAGACAGGAAAAACGAAGCGGTATTTTGTGCTGTTTCCAGTGCCGAGACGTGTGGAACAAGAGGGTCCAAATAGGGAGGTAAGGAAACACTGTTCTAGTAATCCCACGAGAGATAGAGTTGTTCCGTGAAGGTAGCCCCACCAAACCCGTCCAAACGGGTCCACTGAGAGGCCCTCTAGGAGAAGTCGCCGTAACGCAGATTTGATCAATTAAAGACTGGTTCCGTCCACCCGACAAGCACTTATACAATGGTATTTTCATCGCACTGAGGTTCGCGCATTCCAAACAGCCACGATTCGTCGATCAATAAACCTTCTCATTGTTATGGACGACAACCACCAAGAAGAGAGACTGAGCATCACGCTCTAATGCAAGGGTATAGTAAATTTTGGATTACTGGTTCACTTACCGCCCAAACAAGGCGTTCTTCTGCAAAACCTATTCATAGCGTAGCAACAGACAACGTTGTTCCATAGTTATGTGATGGCAATGGAACAGCTGTGACACTCCTTTTGTGTACGGTATTAAAAATATTCTACAGACCTTGAGTCGCAATATAGGAAAATCTGAGGATCCCGTTAAATGGAGTATGGATGAAGGACAAACGATAGTCACGGCCTGTCTTAACATAGTCGAAGGAGGATAATTGAAGGGGAAAACAGCACTCTGTGTGGGCAAATTAGCCGAAGGACTAAGCAGGCTTTTGAAAGAAGCCAGTCATGGAATGCACATAACAAGATACATAGTCTCCTGGTAACCAAGGCCAACTGATCCCCATGGCGACCAACATGACTCAACGACAAGGGACATTGAGCGCGTTCCATGTGTGTGTGGTGAATATAAGCCCGAGTATAAATAGCTGTTCAGCAGTTTCTTCAAAACGCAAGGACACGGAAGTGTCTTTAATTGTGTTCATGCGGTTATTTAGATTAACGTGAACGAAAGAGACGAGCGAGCAGTAGACTCTTAACAGAGAAAATCAGCAGTGCAAAAGAAGTTGAATTCCGACCACCTGACTGGAAGTCAATCGCATTATGATTACTCCACCAAAGGGGACACGCGCTCGTAATTTGGCGATTTGGATAAGACTTCGACATCGATTCCATTAACTGATCAGGTTTCCCGACATGTTAACGGTGTCTACTGAGTCTGTATGTCTCTCTGACCTGGAGGAAGCGGGTCACAAACAAGCAGAACCAGAACACCTACAAAAAGTCGTTGTCCGAACGTTTTGACAAACCACGCATAGATCAAGCGTCAAATGTTCACTTGTTCACAAGTCCAGCGTGGCGCAGCTGATTTGTGGCAGCGTGATCACTTTGAAGGTCAGACGACGATAACCGATACCGCCGATGGGAGAAATTCAAGCATCAGAATTGTGCAAACGAGCGACACACATATATGAATCCATTAAACCACGCAACTATGTATATTCGAAAGTCGAGCAAGCGGTAGTGATTGAGGTTGGTGGCCAGCAAACGCGTTGCCTTCCTCAAGTCGACCGCTTCACCTGTTGCTTATCAGACACAAGCAGTAGTTTCTCATATCAATATGAAACCATGAAGAGTGGAATGGAACGGTCCTACCTGGTAACCATAAATGCGATAAACAAATCAAGAAGTTTCATAAAGGAAATTGGTCACAGGGTTGTTGAAAACTCTTCAACAGCCCACGGCCGGTTTCACCCTTATTGGGGCTCATCATCCCCGAGTTTTCATCAACTTTATGCTCTATTTGAGCCCAATTTGGACTGATTTCGACGAATACATTCATTTGCAAATTCATTTGCTGTTCAGGGGAGACTCAAGTGAACCTCTCGATCATGACGCACACAGACCGCCTCATGATTCAGTTGGCACAATATTCAAGAGATCGCAGTATATCTTCATAAAGAAAACAAATCACAAGGTTTCTGAAAACTCTTCGACAGCCCACGACCGGTTTCGCCCTTCTTGGGGCTCATCAGGTAGGCGAAGTCCTCGAGTTTGCGTCAACCTTATATACTACTTGAACATCATAAACGAGATGTTCAATTGAGTCTCCCACGAAAACCAAATTGATCTGAAAATGAGTGTATTTGTCGAAAGCGACAGATTTTTAGGGACGTTTACATGATATGGATGTAATACTCCGATAGGGTGGAATCTGACATCATTTCACCAGCCTATCCATAAAACCGATCAACTGGTGCGAAACAACTACCAGTCTGCATGTCAAATCTACCACGCTAATATTCCCCAAAATATGAACTACTTAATAAAACCGGATTGAGATCACAAACTGAGTATCTGACACAGTGCTCTTCACCATCCACCCACGCCCGAACAATACAAGAATGAGTACCACAAAATTTAGGCCACACCAAGCTTAAAAACTGTGCATGAGTGGCCGGTAGAAACCCACAGACATTATACTGATGTACAGCGCTCAACGATGATGAAGACAGGTTGAAGAGGAGGGAGAATCGGTGACCTGGATAGGTGTAGACCGGTTCACGTGCATCGGCCTTGATGCACCAGATAGATCGATAGACAGACACTTCAAGGACAGTCAGCTTCGCGTGCGAAATCTTGTCCATTTTCCTCTGTGAAAAACTCAGATCGTTGCATGGTAGCTTGGTGGGAGGGGGTTGAGGAGGGACATCGATGGACAAAGACGACTATAGGCGAGAGTAACTGAAAGACCTACCTTTTCCCAAATGTGTATTGATGCTCATATAACGTGCTGTGCCTGTCAGACTTTTGTGTTCCCGATATCGGATGTGTTTCCCGGTCTCTGGGTCGATATATTCTTTGGCCAGTCCGAAATCAATGATGTAGATGGTTCGATGCCGATTGTAGTACTGCCGACCGATGAGGAAGTTTTCCGGTTTCACGTCCCGGTAGATTAAATGCTTGGAATGCACATATTCGATGCGGCGTAGCTGTGAAAGGGTCAAGGGTAAATAGCGGATGAGCAGGATGCTATGAGGACGGGTAATATGGTAGGAAATCTCGTACAGTGTGCTCGAAGAACGAACAACCGAATCAAGCGTCTTCACACGTGCAATCAGGTTTAGTGCCAATGACTGGAGAATGACAGCAGCGAGGCACAGAGCCAAATGACCGTTTGGAACACGCCACATAGTTGCAATAAGCAGTGAAGATATGATCGGTGAGCAACGTCATGATCAGGTTTCTGATCATCACTTTGTAAGCTTGAATTATATAGTTACTACACAATGATGGTTTGTGCGCGAGTGTCTTGGCTGGAGTGACAGTAACCGACGATCACTATTACGAAAGATCATCACGGTAACATAAGCGGGAATACTAAGTGCTCAAAAGGGATTGAAAATTTAATTGCACACCTTGATAAAATCTGTTGGAAGGCAAATGCGAAATGCTTGAACTTCCCCCACACCCATTCAAGATGAAACATCACCACCATAATCGTTCAACTGCAACACACTTTCGGTGCCTAGCTGCCATGCCACCCGGAGAAAGCATGAGGGCTGGGATACTGCCAGTTTGCCCAAGCCTAGACAGGGGAAGTCGAGAGGCAGAGGTTGGGTTCGAACCACGGACTTCCCGGTCAGTAAATTTACCCTCTTACCATTGAGCCATCTCGCCCCTGCATTGGAAAAACATACTGGTACCCTCTTCACAAGGGAAGTAGTGTACATTAACGGAACAGATGGCATTTTTCGTAAGTCATGCGGGTAAGTACGGTCAGTGACCGAGCGGTGTTGCGGTCAACACCGAAAAGCTGTTGTGTGAAAGGACATGTGACCGACCTTCAATGAGAATGAAGTAACGACAGTGTGAGGCTCATCGCACGATGGATAGCCATTGACTGATCCCAGGTAGCCACATTTTCTGAGTCGAGAAATCGCAGCATTAGCAGAAAAACGATAGTAATTATCGACAGTTAGAGTTCCGACCAGTTCTGTTAGAGGAATTTTGTGGGACAGCTTATTTATGGTTCTTCGCGGAAGTCGTTTTTGTTGTGTTACAGAAAAATGACCTAGATATACGGACCATGGGAAAAACCGCAATGCGCATTTCTTGAAGCTTTCTTTCATCGAGCTTCTTCTAAAACCCCAAATCAATCTCGGTGGAAATATGCCTTCAAACACAAGGTGTCGCGAAAACACCAATCAAAATACAAAACCGACCAGGATGAGTGACAGTCAGCCTCCAGCGAGGGAACGAAAGAAGCTGACTGTAACACGAAGCCAGGTTTTCAGCCAATGAAAACGTACATACACTCACGTGATGTATGCGATGGATTTCGTATAGGATGATATACTGCGCAATCAAGTACCCATCAATAGACAACAGCAACCGCAAAAGGTTAGTGTTGCCATTGATTTGACTAGAAAAAAACGAAACAAGGACTAGCCTAACACGGCCAGACACCGATTGCTGTCAACTGGAGCACGAATGGGGAAAAAATCTGCACTGCCATCGGACTCGAGGTTTGCATTGATCCAAAAGGTACTAAGTCTAAAGAATTTACAGGAAGCTAACCTGGTCAGTGAAACATACTGAAATAATGGTAAAATATTTCGACACGGTACCCTATCAAAAACCGTGCAGACATGCTGTTGAGAAAAGAGATATTGATCCGTTCGAGAATGTACTGGCAAGAATGGATGAGAACGCATACGTCGATAACTTGTGGAACGAAACCAATGCTCGTGAAAACACTTGGAAGAATGAGGCGGTAGAAATCAATTTCAGAGATCGGAAGGTGAACAGTGCCGGGCACGTTTGGCACACCCCATAGGCTTCTAAAAGAATTCTGCGGACACCTTCCAGAAAGCAAGTGGAAAAAAATCAGGCAAGAGATCAACACGAGTGAGTACTGAACAGTTTTTCCCCAATCATGCTACAGAATTCCATCCCACTGGCAACAAGAACGCCACTGACATCGGTTGGCAGCCATATCTTGTAGTGTCTCCAACCAGGCACAGTGAGGATCACGCGGTCCCCATCCTGGAAGGCGAGTAGCACCGACAGCACCCAAGAGTTTCGTGATCTCCTTCATACTCCTCTGCCA